CTTCCCGTGTCTGGACAACTCCTTAATCAAAAACTCGTCGCTGATAAACGGGGGGACGTTGGAGAGAGTGATGTTGGTGGCTGGCAGCGCCAGTGGTGACACCTGTAGGAACCAGTCTCCCACTGAGATGCCAGCCTCGACCAGTTGTTGAGCCTTCTCCACCCTATCAACAAAGATGACCACAGCCCCGTTCATGCGGGCTGCGGACCTGATGGACCCATGTCCAACCACCTCCCCCACCGCTAAACAAACTTCCTCCACGCTGCACGGAGAACCAGCACTCACCTTGATGCCGTTTTTCCGCGTCAGCGTGGAGAAGCTCCCAGTGCTCTCCACCACCATGGCGTCTAGACGCCGGCCAGCCAGGTGCACCTGACGGCCACACCCTGTCAAACAAACTTTTTTAAACTAATAAAACACCAAACCCCACAAATAAATAATTAACAAAAACATAAACACCAAGTGAAAAAAGTAGAAAAAGGACAGAAAAAACGAATGAATAGACACTCTCACTTTCTGCTCCTCTGCTCTTCCTCTCACACTCCTCTCACAAGAAGAAAGAAAGAAAGAAAGGAAACATTTTTACAGATAAAACTACCACTATGGATATCTGGTATTTCTATTATAACCAGTTAAAATGTAAGTTCAGGCAGAAAGTGGATTAATGTAATTATGTTTAAAAAGATCAATTGATTATCTACAATCTGGAATTCCAGTTTAACATGAAATGAGTGAAATGAAAATGATCAATAATCTGTGAGTATTTTTCTCATTTGAATGATTTCAGATGACGTATGTCCTTGTGGATATCTGCAGCTCAGGTATCAACGGGAGTTTGACAGCTATAAAATATTTATTGCAGTTATAGAGAATGCTGAATATGGAGCTAAATCTGTTTTTGGACAACAAGTGTCTGTACTTTTTGTAATCTGAGGTAATTCTGTGTTAGTTTATACACAGGCAGCACTATGGCTGTTAGTGGTCCTTATAACTGTGTTTTAATATAAGTTAGCTCCTGCTTTAGACTAAGCACTTAGCTCAGTGGACTTTTAACTGAGGTGAGATGATACGATTGTTCCAAACATAAATGCACATTGATTGGCTGATATAAGTGAATGCTCTTACAACAGCTGCCTTAGCTTAAAAAAAACTTCTCACCGTTTGCCACTGTCTGCTGTGATGTGTCCTTCTTTAAACATGCAGCACAAAAACTGATCTGCTGCAGGAATTTATAACTTCTGAATGTTTGAAGCACCCTTAAAAACCAAACAGCTCTAAATGCAGACTCCTCCATGATTTTGGTGACTGCTGAGTAAGTAAAAGTGACATTACCACCTGAGCTATTGCACGAATGTTGAGAACGTACTACAACGGTTCTCATCGTTGCTCCTTCATGCATGGACTCCCAGTCCTTGCAAACCTTAGGAAGTCCTTTTAACAAAAGATATGCTCCAACTGCTGTTGACTAACAGCGTTCACAAGAAAGGACCCAAAATGTCTTCAGATGTTCTTGTGGGTTCTCCTGCATTTACCTTGCGTGAGTTGCAAAGGTGTGCAAACCTTTGGCTTAAATTTTGAACACGCTCAAAGATTTTCTGCAACATATTTTCACTGAAAATATTATAGATAACCTGTCTAAATGTTATTGCACAACAGCTTAGTGGTTAGCACCATTACCTCACAGCAAGAAGGTTCTGTGTTCAATTCCTGCTTTGAACTTTGGGCGTTTCTGTGTGGAGTTTGCATGTTCTTCTCATGTTTGTGTGTTTTCCCCAAGAACTCCAGTTTCCTCCCACAGTATAAAAACATACATGTTAGGCTGCCTTCTGGCCCAGGCCTCCATTGCACAGGAGATCTGATTGGTTCAATAGAGGTTCATAAATAACTAAATAAATAAATTGCCTGTGTTTCCAAGAGGTGTCGTTGAGCAACTGGAGCTCTGCTCCGTCCAGGTCTAAAAACCACACACCAGGGATCAATAATCGTCCAAAAACAGGTCCAAATCTGCCAATCTTTATTTCTCAGTTATACGCCTGGAGATTAAATCATAAACATGAAGCTGCCATGGTGGAGATGGGCAACACGATAATATGCATGGCCTAGATTACAGTTTTGCAAGCTGTTCACACAAACATAGGCTGTGAAGTAGCTGCACCGCTACGTTTAACGCTGTCCAACAGTGAAATGTGACACACGTTATGTTATGTTGTTTATTTGACATATGCAGGTTAACACAAGGTCAACGGTGCAATGAAATGTTCAGGATGAGAAGAACCAATTCAACTTGCTAAGAAAAAAAAAGCAAGAAATACTAAAAAATACAATAAAAGTACAAAATAAAGTACAAGTTCAAGCATCTTTATTGTCATTAGTATCACAAGTGGTAAATGAGGTGGAACTAAATTATGTACTCAAGGTCCCAATTGCACCCAAAAATAACAAAAATATAAAGTACTAACAAAACAGTATGCAAGGATCTAAGATATACACTAAACACTAAAAATGTAAAATGACAAGGTATATTGAACAGCAGCCCAAACATGAGTCTGCAGTAAGCAGATAGGCATGAATGAATACAGCAGCATGAGATCAGCAGCATGAGATCAGCAGCATGAGATCAGCAGCATGAGATAATCAGCAGCACAGATAAGTCGCATATCACCAAATTCATATTTACAAGGTCCTAAAAAAATACAGTAAACAACAACATGGCAGAATATAATGGTGCAAGTAGGATGAATTAATAGAAATAAGTATTTCACAGGTGGTAATATAAATGTGCATGATATTTTCTTGAGCTGGAAAAGGGTAGAGTGCCCTCTCCGGGTCAGGGAGGAGGTCCTGCCCCAAGTGGAGGAGTTCAAGTATCTTGGGGTCTTGTTCACGAATGAGGGAAAAATGGAGCGTGAGATCGATAGGTGGATAGGTGCAGCGTCTGCAGTGAAGCGGGCGCTGTACAGGTCTGTCGTGGTGAAGAGAGAGCTGAGTCAAAAGGTGAAGATCTCAATTTACCTACCGATCTACGTTCCTACCCTCATCTATGGTCACGAGCTTTGGGTTGTGACTGAAAAAACAAGATCTCGGATACAAGCGGCCGAAATGAGTTTTCTCCGCAGGGTGTCTGGGCTCTCCCTTAGAGATAGGGTGAGAAGCTCGATCATCCGGGAGAGACTCAGAGTAGAGCCGCTGCTTCTCCACGTCGAGAGGAGCCAGTTGAGGTGGCTTGGGCATCTGGTTAGGATGCTTCCTGGACGCCTCCCTGGTGAGGTGTTCCGGACACGTCCCTCCGGGAGGAGAACCAGAGGAAGACCCAGGACACACCGGAGGGACTATGTTTCTCGGCTGGCCTGGGAACGCCTCGGGATTCCCCCGGAGGAACTGGACCAAGTGGCTGGGGAGAGGGAAGTCTGGGCCTCCCTACTTAAGCTGCTACCCCCGCGACCCTACCCTGGATAAGCGGAAGAAGATGGATGGATGGATGGATGGATGGATGGATGGATGGATGGATATTGCACATAACTTATATTACACAGGTTGTGACAGGTTATTGCACAGGTAGTGAGTAACAATGAACTCAAGTATGATGGTAAGGTAGTGATATACATGATACAGCCACATATTGCAGCAGCATTAAACTTATTAGTTGTCATAGATGTGGCTTGGTACAATGTTATTGCCAGTTGTTCAGTATTATTATCAGGAGTTCAGTAATCTGACAGCTTGTGGGTAACTAATAACTGTCTTTGAGTATTTTTGTGCACGATGGCAGACTCCTGTATCGTCTGCCTGAGGGTAGTAGATGGAAGAGTCCTTGTGCTGGGTGGGTGTGGTCCTTAATGATGCTGCATGCTTTACACAGACACTGGCTGTGGTAAATGTCCTGGATAGTGACAGACCACAGTACACACACCAATTGTTTATGGCCTTGAATTAGCTCCATACTTACCTTCTGGTTATTAGAAATTATGTTTTTGACTGGGAAGAGTTAAACTATATATATCTGCAATATGTATCGCGCCTATACAGGTAAACATTTTAAGGAATTTTATTTTTACATTAATTAAAACTTAGTTTTTCTACTATACAATGTGGATATGTTGAAATAGAGCATTTACCAGCAGGAATGATATAACTTCAGTTTTGACTCTTAAGAATTAATTGACTTGGAGGATTTTTTCTTACTAAAAACATGCATGTTAGGCTGACTGGTAACTCTAAATTGTCCCAAGGTGTGAGTGAGAGAGTGAATAGTTGTTTGTCTCGTTTGTCTCTAAGTGGCCCTGTGATGGACTGGAGACCTGTCCAGGGTGTACCCCGCCCTTCGCACAGTGATTGCTGGACATGGGCACCGGTGACCCCTGTGACCCAAAAAATGGAATAAGCGGGTAAAGATAATTGATGGATGGATTTTTTTTTGCTATTTCACAGCACAAAAATGTTAGTATCTTGCTCTGATTATATGCTACAACTGGCTGCCACAAACACTCACATGTCCCGGACCCTTCTAATGTTCTTCTAATTTACTGTACTGTATTCCTTTACGTTTGTAGCATGCTGTTTAAATTGTACCTGTGCAGCAACTTGTGTTTTCTTGCAGTCTAACTAGTCTGAGTAGATATTCTCTAAAATATCGTGTTTGTTTCAATATGTCTTCCTCTCATATTTTACGTTTATGCAATTGCAACATTTGAGACGTTGTTTTGGACTTTACTACTCCGTGCAGTCGTAACTGCCCCGCTCCTACGCTACATGAAACACCAACATGAGATTCCACGTGCAAAGACCGACTTGTTTATATAAAACGACGGACAGCCCTCTGGACCAATCAGCTTTCGCTAAAACTGTTCCGTAACGTTTTCCATGGAAACCCCGAGCTGACAGCCAATCGGGTTGAGCTTTGGGCGGAGTCTAAATTGAGGTCGCGTGCTAAGCTCGCTGATTCGCTGGCAGCCAACTGACGACGCCAGCCGGGGCGGGACCTACGACTACTGTGTCAATCAGTCTGTGGCCATTCTCCCATTGAGGAATACTGGCTTGTTGTGCTGAATGTTTTTTATTCTTTGGCTTTGCTTTTTTCTTCACCGAAGACGACCGAAGAGTGGGGTTTCATCTCGACACCACAGGTTGGTTTCACGTCAATTAAACGCGCTAGTTTTAGCAGGGATGAGTCCTCGATCTATAAAAAAAAAATAAGTTGCATAATGAAATCGCTATCTGCGCATGCGCCAAAATCGGGCTTGCTCTACTTTTTTTACCTTTAAACCCTCAAAAATGCCGGTTTGAGTTTTTTGACCTCTCATATAGGAGGAGGACAGTGATGTTTTGTTAAACGTGTCGTCTGTGGGTAAATTGGGCTTATTTTGTTGCGGATTCTTACCGATATGGTTACTTTTACATAACTGTGTCAGTGTACCGTGCAGTGGATTGCAGGTCAACGTGTGTGTGGATTTTGAATAGCAGGTCATCTGGTAGCTGAGGGAGGGAGGGCGGCTAAATCCCTTTAAAACATTTATATTTTCTCCTCGTTCTGCTTTATTCCAACTGTTATTGACTGCGATTATAGCTTGAAAACACATAAAGGGAATGCATTATAATTTTCCCAGTCTCCATACTGGTATTATCCAAGCAGAGATTCATTAATGATGATCTGATAATCAAATGGATTTGTTAATTGTTAACAAAATAGTGTTTAGTTATCATATGGACATGCACTAACAGGGAGGTGCTTACCCCTTCTTAATATACACATTAAGTTCATGTTAAACCACCATTTAACATAGAAAAGATTGGGATTAATTGTTTTAGAGCACAAAAAGCAAAACCTAAACTTAATGTGCACTGCCTATTGATATGTACATTTTATATTTTATAAAGGTGATTCACTTGTATCAAGTATAAAATCAACAGTGCTGGCATTTTGAGTAAAAGCGGAAGTAGGTCTTGGCACAAAAAATGCTAATGACTCAATAATTCCCTCTGAAGTTCTGAGTTTGTGTTGACTGAATATATTGGAGGAGTTTTTAATTTTTTATTCTTTTGATTGAAGTATTAATTCATTTAAATCCCAAGAGAATATGGTAGTTTTATCTGCATTGCTTGTGTGTGTTTTGTATCTCCTGGAAAGCACTCAGGTGCTAGAGGAACAGGCATGTGGTTTTATGAAACAGGCTCCCTGCTCCACTGGATCCATGTGACTGGAACCAGTTGTATAAGTCCTGAGATCTGTGCTAGTATGCTGGTGTCAGTGTGTCGCCTTTTGCTGTTTTCAGACTTACATGTTAAACTACCAGAAAGAGTTTGTGGATCTTGTTGTCTTCACTCCAGTGGATTAATCTACTTTTGCATGCTTCGTCTTTCTGGTGATTCTTATACACGTGGATGAAGTCCACGGTGAGTCCGTTTAAAACTTGTGACGCTCCAGAAGCTGACGGTGGGTGCGTTTTTATGTTTGAGAAATTAGTCTGGATGCATAGTTTAGCTTGTGGACTTAGTTTTATCTGAAGTGGCTGCTGCGGGACGGATAATATGAAAAATACCTTTAAATAAGTCTAAATGTAAAGAGCCTTTACATGGCAACTGCTTGACCAGGAAAAGGGCTGTTTTCATCCAAGTAATCCAGTTTTTAAATATTTATTGCATTCTATCTATCTTCTGCTATACATACGAGTTATTTTAGAGTAATAACTCATTTATGGGTTTGTGTGATTCTTGATGTTTTGTCACGATACACGTTTCCTTATGAGGTTTTTAATTTTATTGTAAAACGTTTGAAGACCTGTTGGCTGAGCTGATGTTAGCCCAGCTCCTTTAGTCTCATTAAGCAGGTACCAGCCCGTCTCCTCTGATTGGCTCTTTGCAGCAGGTCCATTCAGGCCGCTTTACTTCCACTCAAACTTAGTGGGTCACTTTCAGAGGTGATGGTGGACATGTGTGGGTGGATGGAAAGTCTGCTTGGGTTTTTGTCCAGCTGAAGACAAGACGAGGCTTCTGTTAAAAGTTACATAAAGCAACTTGTATAAAGTGCAATGTGCAGTCCCACACGAGTAGCAGCAATCTGATACTGGGTTGTAGGAAACACTAAAATAGTTCAGATGTTTTCTTCTGTGCTTGCTGTTGTACGGCGGTTTTATTTTGTATTTGTGGGCCTCGGTGGACATCTATAGCACCGACTCCTGCTCTTCTGCTGCGGAGGATGGAGGAGGAAGTGGAGGAGGCTGAAGAGATGCTAAAAATGGGAGATCCTGTATATTTATCTGCTCTCTTTTAGAGAACTAGTCACTTCATATCAGCCAAACAGATGGTTCTTCTACGGTGTATTTGTTGGTTTTCAAAAGCAAGAAAGAAGTCTTCGTGTTTTGTTGTGACTTAACCCAAAAAATAAATGGTTGTTATTAATGTCCTGTTTGTAATGCTCCGTGTCTTTGTGGCTCCTAATGTTAGATAAGGACGTATTTATTTAAAGTGACGAGTCTAATAATGGCACAGATTGCAGTTCCTCACGTGAAGGAAAAAGAGATCAACCCCTCAGAGATTAGTTGTCAGGTTTTCCATCCTGCCTGCTTGTTGATCAATTAGCTAAAGACCAAGCAGAGGAGACAACTTTAGTAATAGTTTAATGGGATTTTGAAGCATCCTTCTAAATCGCAAATTCTTTCCGGTGAACGTGTGACAGTGGACGTTTTGTTTGTGCAGAGTCTTCAGAGTTGAGTTTACTATTGGATATATTCATTTTTTATGTGAAGAGCTCTGAAGGTTTAGCTGTCCGGAGCTTCAGTCTTCCTGGAAAAGGTCAAACAACCTGTTAACTGTGTGTAGTTGTGAAGGTTTAACTTGTTCTTTCATTGTTAAGATCTTTTCTTCACCATTACTCTGCTAATGGAGGTGTACTGTATGAGTAACGTCACCTGTTCTGTTTCCTCCCTCAGGCTGACCCTCGGCTCCTGAAGCATCGTTTTCATCACAGTGCCGGGCACCGCATGGCATCACCATGTGGAAAGTAACCTTACTGTGAGTTCCTTGTGCTTTGGCCCTTATCATGTCTGAGGACAGTGATCCAAAGCTTTACCTGTACTCAAGCCTAGACGCCTGCGAGCGGGTTGGTTTTCAGGCTAAAGAGGAGCAGGGTGCACTGTGTGGCTCTATGAGCCAGCTTCGTCACATGGCCAGCAGTTACAGTGAGGGTTGTGGCGGGCAGGACGGGGTGGACCTTGACCCGGAGTTAGGACTTGCTTCTGAAGGGAGCGACAGCAGCCATGAGCACCCGGCCTCTCTGGACTCCTCCCATGCCGACAGGAAGCGACAGCGACCACCTTTGCACGAGGACGTAGAAATGGGCGGCATGGGCTCAAGTGGGAGCGGGACGGAATCCCACGGCAACGAGTCGCATGGCAACGAGTCCCACGGCAACGAATCTGTGGTCAGCTCTAATGGCAACGAAAAGGATTCTGCTATTATGGAATCTTCAGGGAGCAACAAGAGGTAAGATCAGATGCAATAAATGACGGCACACTGAGATTTTCTCCTCTCCACCACGACAACATCGAAAACATGGACGTTCATTGGACCCTTTTAGGGTCGTGTCCTCATTTCAAGGGGAATTCATTTAATTCCAGTTCACAGCTAAAGTCATATCCAGTTCAGATCTATATTCAAACCCCTTCATAGTCTTTTATTCCTGTTACAAACCAGTATATTATTAAATGCCAATTAGTAAAAATGGTCTATATAAGGAGATTGCATCAAATCTGCACTTTGTCACAATCTCCCTTCATGATCAGTATGTTGGCAACACTGGAAAGAAACGACTTCCTTTTAACGGGGAGAAGCCTCCAGCTGATCTAGGCTCAGGGTGGGCTGCCACATATAGAAACACTTCTTCCCGTCCAGTAGAGTTTAAAGCAGAGGAACCACCATAAACCGAATGAAACATCTGGAACATAGCAGATAAATGTAAGGCTGTACTTTCTTCCACAGGGCTCTGTCTTTACCGTCTCATGCCTGTGTGCTGTTCTCATCACTGAGGTGGAGTCAAAGTGAAAAAGACTTTTCTCCTAATACAGATCAAAACAGCACTGACTGCATGCCTTCTGTCTAAAATCGTCTTCATCGTACCAGCATAATGTCCATTGCTTCATAATTTATTAGTCTTTGTGACACATCAGGGGGTTCATTGACCAGAGCAATTAGCAGTTTTGTTTTGGAAGAGTTAATTCTTTTAGTGAGATACGTAGATGTGTTTGTGGGTAGTGAGACCAGATGTTTTTATGGAGTTGCTCCAGTTGGAAACCTTTGGCCTTACCAAGGGGTTAATAACAGATTGTGTTTTTACTGGGCCAAGAGACTTGAGAATGTTAATTAGACCACTGCGATATTGAGCATCATGGGCCCGAGTGCTAGCAATGCTAGCAGAGAGGGTGTCCAAGTTGATGTCTTTGTTGTTCCTGAATGAGACACTGTAGCCATGATGGTGGGAGTTGGTACAGACCATTACACACGTTGCACTGGAATGAGCATGAGTATGTGCACACACGCAGGTCTTCCTCTTGTGATAAATTATCCTGAGACCTCTGTGACCGGGGCTGACAAATGCAAACGAAAGTCGAGTGGTTTGGAGTCGTTAAGTTACGAAAAGTCCATAGGTTGTTCCAAAAGGAAGCTTTTGGTCGGTGAGGAGATCCTTGGTGAGACGTTGTTTATTCGTGACTGAACAGATGTAGAGCAGACCAGCGTTGACAGCGATGGAATCATGTTTGGTAAACAGGTTAGCAAACCTGGCTAGGCTGACTCACTAACTGGGGCCTTTAAAATCACAGAGGACACTGTCAAAATGCCCAATTTCCCCAAAACGACTAAATGATACTGTCCTTAACTGAGTTTGGATCTCTACTAGTATATCAACTGCAGACGATGCTCAGAACAAATCAAGATTTAGAGACGCTCGTTTTTTTATTTTTCATAATTAGAAAACTTGAAGAGGACAGAACAGGATGGATGAACACAAAGGCAAAACCAGTATTTTCAAACCTCTCAGATGTATTTGATGCTCTACTTTCTTCAGAAATTAAATGTTTTTGGGGAAGTTTGAAGTTTTTCAAAAGACTTCCAGGTTGTCAAAATACAGAAGAAGCATTTCAAGATGTCAAAGCATACATGTTCAGACAGTACCTGTCTTAGCTTGATAAATATTCAGGGAGTAAAAATCTGTGTGTTTGTATGTATATATATATATATATATATATATATATATATGTATATATATGTATGTATTCATTAAAGAGTGGACTTTAGAAACGTAGATGTACATTCTTAATAAAATCTCACATTCCTTAGCAGAATTAAATTGATGTTTTTAGTGTAATCAGTAAAGATTTGTTCTCGTTCTTAATTAAACCCAGTCATTGAATCTGGTGGATTTTTCATGAACACAACTGGTTTATGTTTAAAACAGCATGTATGGGCTTCTAAACATTTGGTTAAAAGTCATTACTACGTGCTGGCTGCTAACCCATAAATAAGCTGTTGCTGAATGCTGCCGCCTCTGGGCCTGCACTCAGTTTCTTTAGTTTGATGCTGGTTTTTGTTGGAATTTTAACTTGCTTGTTTGAAATAATGTGTTACAAATTAATTTTTCACAGTAGGTTTTCCTTAAAGCTAAAACAAATGAGCTAAAGTTCTGGGCTTTATTGGGACTTGCAGGTGCCTCCTCAATGAGTTTCAGTGATCATTTTATCAGTTCTCTGTTTTATTAACCTTTATGTGACGTTGTGTTTAAAGATTTCAGATTTGAGTGTAATTGCTCAGCAAAGCTTCTGTTTTTTGCTTTTATTATCACAACAGTAGTGACATCGTCTTATTGAATATTATTCATTTACTATACATGTCCTGGTTCAGTGTGTTTACTTGTTGGGTTTAGAGAAGTTTAACGAATCGGGAAAAAGCTAATCATTTTTGTATGAATTTAACTTAAGCGATAAACTAGAAGACTCAAACCAGGTTATCGTGGAGTAAATGCAATACTGAAATCATGTTTGTGCTGTTTTTATTTATCTGTTTGTGTACAACTTCTTTATTAACGTGAGCTTGGGCTTGTTTTTACAGCTCCAACTCTCACAGCCCGTCTCCACCGAGCAGCTCCAACGCCTTCAGCCTGGTGAGCTCTGAGCAGGACAACCCTTCAACCAGCGGCTGCAGGTCTGAGCGCTCTCTGCTCCTTACATTATACAGAATTTGATGACACACACACACACCCGGTCACCCCCCTCCTAAGTGTAAAGTTGAAGAGGTGACATCACTGGTGAAACATTGTCGTTTTGACACAAGTGTTTGTTTCTCTGTCACGACCTACAGCAGCGAACAGTCAGCCAAAGCTAAGACACAGAAGGAGCTCTTCAAGACTCTCAAGGAGCTGAAGATGCACTTACCTCTAGAAAAGAGGAGCAAGGGCAAGTCCAGCACCGTCAACACGCTCAAATACGCCCTGCGGTGCATCAAGCAGGTGAAAGGTAAGACCTCCTCACGTGGTTTATTCTTTAGAGTTGTACAGTACGCACATTAAATCTTCCTTTTCCTCTACAACTTATTAAACAATGTATGGGTCCACAATGTTTTACAGCTAATGAGGAGTATTACCAGATGCTGATGATTAATGACAGTCAGCCACCGGGGTTTGATGTGTCGTCCTACACCATCGAGGAAATCAACACCATCACCTCAGAATACACCCTCAAAAACACCGTAAGTATCGAAGCGTGTTTTACTTTGTGCCTCAGTGCATGACCATCCAAAACATGTTTATATCAGTAGAAGTATTTTCACTCATTACGTTAAGAAAGGTTTCTAAAATGCCATTATGTACTGGTTAGTAACCAGTCAGACAGCCTACTCATCCGTTACTTCAGAAACGTGCTTGTTTTCTTCACACGATCCTCTAAAGTTTAAAAGCAGGACTCTGTTTTTGAAGACGATTCTCGTATCCAGCTGAAAGTGTTGAGTTCCAGCTGTAACTAGAAACTTTTTTTTTTTTAAGAATACTTTATTTTGGATTTTTCAATAACAATATTACAATTATTAACTGACAAGACAAAATCAGCTCAGGAACAAGTACGATATCACTTGAGTAGTAAGACATACCTAAAATAAAATATATTTACAGTGACATAACACAACAAGAGACAAATAAAAGGGTGGGGGACGCGTAGTCCTTAAAAGGATTAAATGAAAAATATATAGGAATCAGAGATGCAGTGAGAGACAGATGGTATCTCTATTCATCCCATTTTAAATTGGAAGGGGGGCATCTGTTTTCCACTTTGTCACAATACATTTGTTAGCTACTGCCAAAAGGACTTCTGTAAGTTTCTTAGCATATTTTGTCTCCAAGTTAGAATTTGTAAAGTTCCCTAATAAACAAATTTCAGGGTCTGGTAGAAACTTTGACTGGACCCGCACTCTGTCGACTGCACGTCAGCGCACCGAGTGACTTTTCAAATGTGTTGTTTTTGTGCGTATAGGACATATTTGCTGTGGCCGTGTCTCTCATCACCGGGAAGATTGTTTACATCTCAGACCAGGCGGCGTCCATCCTGAACTGCAGGCGGGAAGTGTTCAACAACGCCAAGTTCGTGGAGTTCCTGACGCCTCAAGACGTCAGCGTGTTCTACAGCTTCACCACGCCGTACCGCCTTCCGTCATGGAGCATGTGCACCGGAGCAGGTGCGAGCCTTTAGAGAGCGCTTCATCGTTTTGTGTCTCGCTGTATTTTTTTTGGAACTGGATCGTGGATTTTTACTGCCAAACAATGTGCACGCTGCAAATCCACACACAGCACAACCCGTATCACCAACACGCTAGACTCTATTTCTGTCACATGATGCACCCCCACTTCTAAATACGTCACACCTCTTTCATTAGCATGCTCATTCATGCATTAACGACTGCCCTCCCACATGCCAACACTGCCTCATATCTGTAAAATACAACCAGATATCAGGGCGGTCAGAAACACTGAGTCACTGTTTGGCTGGGCACATCTGCACACATCTGGATGAGAGACGAAGCTCTCTGATCCATTAAATCCTGCCTTGAATATGAGCGCCTAACAGACGGGGAGTGATCTGACACTAATCATTTCCTGTGATGTTTCTTCAGAGTCGTCTTCCACGGAGTGCATTCAGGAGAAATCCTTCTTTTGCCGCATCAGGTGAGTGTCAACAACCAGCAGCAGCGTTCATCCATAGCTACATCAGGATGTTCGTGTTCATCCATAGCTACA